GGAGGGCAGGCGATGCCACCCGTCTCCATCCCCATTAGCACGCAGGCCTATATCCTCTCCTACCTTTTCCAAAAGCAGTGGTCAAAATCTTCTCTTCGTGCCTTTTACCAATCGGGATGGACAGCAAATGGGTAAATAGAGAAGTATACCAGAGTTGAGCAAGGTAAAGACTACTGTTCTTCCCTTCTAGTTGCTGATCATGTCTAAGCCCCAAAAATGGCCATTCTATCCCCTTAGTTCCTCATATTTATGTGATTTTCCTTTCCCCCTATTGTTCTAAAACTATTCATGATTAATGCTGATGCTGAGTCCGTCTTCTGATCGTCCTGTAATGATGGCAAAGAAAACGACGAATTACGGTTCAACCACAGCGATGCAGATCATAGTGGATGGCGTACAAATGTAATGCCACTACATCACCTCAATTACCTCTAGCGTCTAATTTTTTTGTTTTCCTATTTGGCGGGTTCAAAGGAAGGCTGAACACAGAGTCATTGAATGCATCTCCTTATCCATTAGCAAGAGGACGGCCACAAACGAGGGCGAAACAGTCGCTTTTTGCCGAATTGCCTTATTTTGTGAACGTACACTCTTTCCTCTGCTTGCATAACGCACAAGGCAGAACTTGAAAAAAATAATTTGCCATTTTTGCAAACTCCTCTCTTATTGCCGATGTCGTATTTCGGTACTATCAAGGTATTGGTTACCGCAGGACTGAGGGAGGTGGAGCGTAGGAATTGCTCATCGTCGAATGGAAGTACTTCCCGTCGGTGACCCAGCTGGCCGCTTGATGCAGCGTAACCACACATTCGTTGACATGATGCATATTTGCGTGTGTTTTAGGGATGCAGAACAACTTGATCGCCTGTGTGATCGTCGTCTTCCTCTGCATCATCTCCTCCACCATTGTGGGCGCCGTCGGCGTCCTCGCTCGCATGGTGCCCGCAGCCATGGTCAACGCCTACCTCTACCTCACCGCCTGCAAGTTCACCCCCTCACTTGTTACTCGACCCTGTCACTTTGGCAGTTTTGACAGCTTCATTACCATTGTCACAGAGTTGGCTTAAGGAGGCAATTTAAATGACTAGGACCCATTTGTAAAGTTTTTGAATTGGCACTCAGTGTTTACTTCTTAATCGTTCTCTGCATTTGTATGTTTTATCAGAATACGTTACTTCTAGTAGGCATTTTATAAAAAACAGTTAATTTTTTTATCTGTGTCTATTTGGCTTGGAGCACACATGTGTCACTACCCACTACGATTCGTTCGATCACCATCGTTGCAGGTTAAGTTTTCGCTGCTTGTTACAATAACAGTAGTAAGAAGAGCAGAGGCGAATAACTTGGAGGTCCTTGATGTGCATTGTTATCGGTTAATTCCTGACTCGTGGCCTCCATTTGTATGGCAATCAGCGACATCCAAATAGGCATTCTAGAAGATTTGGTTAGTAAAATGAAGAATTTGTTTATACGGAGGGATGCTGAATGTGTCAGAGGACTTGTCTAATTAGCGGCAAAAAGCATCAAATTGTGAATGATGAGAACAAGCTGGAATTTTACAATGATTTTTTTCATGTTGTCGCCATTTCTCCTTCAGGTGTGTTCATTATATTTGCCAACTGCATTGAGCACATCAAGGTGAATCACATGCAATGGAAATGGGGACCCTGTTACCCAATCGTCAATCTCCCCGCTGATGTGAGTTTGCCCTCCTGACGTTGCGTGGGGTGGATAACCTCCTTGAGTGTGTAACAGGGCGAGAGATGCAGTGACCTTACGTCGAAGTGTTTCTGCATGTGTTGCTAATTTTGAAGGGGTAGCTGAGATATGCTGCGCTTTCAAACTCCACTAGTGGCCAAAGGACTGCAGTGATATAAGTAGTTTCAACTGGCTTTGTTCCAACATTTGTAAGGTTGACGAAGCTCTTGTTGACTATCCACGCACTGCATGCTCGCCACCTACTTCACATGGATTATCCGGTCTAAACCAAACTATGTGTGATTTCTGCCTCTCATCACAGGCTACATTTCTCATAATGCCATTAACCTCATCCGCGGGAAAGCATGCATGTTGTTTCGGATGGGAAAGAGATGGGAGAGAAAGAGGAGGAAAAGAGGGCCAAAAAGGAAGAAAAAGTAAGGTGGTTTCACTTTGTCCTCCTCCATTATCAAGCCTCCATATTTTCTAAAATGCAATTGTTGAATTTTCTACATCATGGACAATCGCATACGATGCAGAGCTAACATTTTGGAAATGTACATGCATGAAAACGCATGTACCAGCTGTATCTCATTAAAATAAATCAAGAGGTCACTAGGAGTGCTCT